CGGCGTAGATAGGGGGGAAGGAAGATACCATGGTAGATGCCTATACCAAGGAGTCCCGACTGGAGATGTATAGGGAACAGGGTGCCGCTAAGGAGGAGAAGGAGAGGAGGGAAAGGAAGAGGCTAGGTGATCATCATCATCGGATAATGGCCGCATCGCTCCGCTGTTGAGAATTTACTAATAATAGGTTTGGAAGCGAAACCACCTCGGAAGGTCCCGGAGGCGATGAATCAGCGAGGGGAGGTGGGGAAGTGAGGGTAGCCTAGAATTGTGGTATCGAGGATCGTAGTGTGAGGGAAAAGCCACGCTCTCGTTACAAGCGTAGTGGCGTCGTTAAGGGCATTTTCCATGGGTTGCCGTATTCGAAGTGATAGTGCCATATATTGTGTGCATGTCTATGAGGAAGTAGGGCGTGGAATCGAGTGTTCGATCTGGTGCTTCATTTGCACATTTTCTTCATCTAAATGAGAAATGTTCTGGCTAGGGATCGATCCGGGGACCTTTGGGTTTAGATACGTCAGTGTAATGAAGGGAAGTATAACTTCCATATTGATGAGTTTGGTACTCCTGGTATGGTGGTGATGGAGATAGACATACCGGCTTTCATGGACACCAGCTTCATCGATGTGGACATCCAACCTAATTATGTTAGGTATCTCTTATGCACGCGTGCATACCGCAACTTTGTCAACTTCTAGCTGCTCACGGCAGGTGTGTTACCAAGGAGAAGCTGACGCAGTTGCGAACGCCGTGTGAGGTCGTGGTCCATGCGTCTACAGTGAAGCGAAGCAGCACGACGGGTGCTCTAAGGTGAGGATACGTCAACGGGTTAGTATGGCATACTCCGTAGGGAGAGGTTGTACGTTCGATCCCGTCAAGTGACATATTGTATTGTTTAGAATAGAAATGCCCCGTGCTGATCAATCAGAGATGCTAAGGGTGAAAGAAAAAGAGGAGAAACCGAAGCAGGTGAGCAATCGTTCGTTAAGGAATCAGGTTGGAAAGCAAGTGGTCGGAAGTCTCATCTTTAGACTACTACATCGTCTCGTGTGAGAGGGAGCGACGAAAAAGAATCAAGCGGAGCGAAGTTTTTGCCGTTGAGCAAAAGTGTATCTCTGAGGATCGTTAGGGATGTGGAAGGGGATACTCTGATGAAGGAAGTGCATGATGAATATGATGAATCGGATGTGCCGCCCTTGGAGGCTATTTCAGCCTATTACTAGCCTCATCGAGTTCACAGGGGGGCAGCAGTGGCTACTCGTTATTTATATGCAGCTCCTTCTCGGTCAGTGGTAGGGGTGCGACTCGGTCCATGAGTAACCACAAGCATGTGTTTCGTGTGGTCTGCTATGAGAAGGTGATTGTCGAGTTTTAGTGAGGATAATGGTGGGAGGGTATCTTTAGGTTGACTCTGTTGTCAAGAAGATATGCAGCATGAGCCGGCATCACCGACAGGGAGGTTGCCTACAGGTAGTGTCTTTTATCGTCACGATTGTCGTCCTCGTATTGGGAATGTGATATCTCGTGGTAAAGGGGTCTGTCGTT